AGGCCAGATGATCCCTTTAAATGTCATTAAAAATCGAAGATTATAGCAATGATGACTTTTCAAATAATTGTCTCTCAAAAACACACGTTGATATTCGAAAAATAGTGTCGAAATCTAACTTCACAGTTACCCTTCAATAGCAGAAACTTGTGTAGATCCCCTCGTAGTTCTAAATTCACCTATCACGTCGTGTACAAACATATTTTCCACACACAAATGGTGGGTATGTTTGTAAAAAGTTCCACTATATTTGCTATGAGATGCTGCCGCTGTGGTCGTATTTGTCTATCTCGCGTTTTGCTTAAAATATGGAACATGCCGATTGAATGTTGGCCTATTTATTCAGCTTACGTTGTTTACATACGCTGCTGTTTTTTTTCGCCAACTTTACTATACATGTTCGTTCATACGTTGTTTTTATTTTTTTTTCGCCAACATCTTCCATAAACTTTCTTTCGAGTGCATGCTGCTATTATGATTTTGTTCCCAATTTTTCATAGACATCTGATATATTTGTACATGGGTACTATACGAAAAATGTACGTTGCCATCATTTTTTTTAGGTTTTTGTACAGGTAAATTGCTATGGAGTAGTAGATGTATGAAGGCTATTCAAAAGAAAAGTTCAAAATCTATGCTGGTAGTTTGAGGAATGGAGCAGCAACAGCGGATACTGCCGCTGATGCTGTTTGGTTGCGTCTACTTGAGGATTAAACAGAGTGTGTTTCATCCGAATCGGAATGCTGGGAATGGGATGCAGACTCCCTTCCTCCCTCCCACCATTGATATGCTGTTGTTTTGCATTTCCACAAGGGTTTGATTTGGCTTGGCTTTGTTTATTTGTAGTTGAGATTATTTGTTTGCCATTATGGTTTATTGGAAAATTCATGACTGTGTGTGTGTGTGTCTGCACTTCAATTTCATAGAATTCTCAATTTCTTTTCTATTCACTGTTCTAATGACATGAGTTATTATCGAATCTACAGTGAAATTATGGAGCTTCCAACGATTTCCCATTCTTTTTCATTGTCTAGATTAGCGTTGAGTGTACTTTAGATGTCAATGGGATCCAATGGAGTAATTGAATTATAAATGCATTAAAATTATTATATAATATGCAATTTTTTGCACTATGAAGGTTATTCCGTCTAAATTCTTCTTTTTATACTCTACACCACATAGTGGTAAGGGTATTATGTCTTTGTGCATTTGTTTGTAACAGGCAAATGGAAACGAGGTAGACCCATAGTTCCTTTTTATGATCTGCATAGAATCACATTCTGAGTCGATTTATGCATGTCCGTCCGTCTGTCCGTCTATCCATGTATTTTTGTAAACAAAGTACAGTTCGCATTTATTTCCCTATCCAGATGAAATTTTGCACAAATCATTTGTTTGGCCCAAGGACTAACCCTATTGAAATTGGAGATAATCGGTCAAAATTTAGATATACCTCCCATATATATCTTCGTCCAATTTACTTTTTATTGTGCACCAAACGTGTAATATCAGCCCGAATTGTATGGAATTTTGCACATACAACCAAATTAGACCTGAAAATAAGTATGCCAAATTTGATCGAAATCGGTTTAGATATAGGTATAGCTCCCATATATATCCAATTTGTTATTTTTGTCCTCCGCAGCCGTAATATGCACTTTGTAACAACAATATTTGGGGAAATATATCAAATTCAGCTCAGAAATACCTTTGCTAAATTTCATCGAGATCGTTTCAGATTTGGATATAGCTCCCATATATAACTTTGTCCGATGTAACCTATATTGTGCACCAAACGTCTAATATTTGTCTAAATGGAATGGAATTTGGCACTTACGGCCGAATTGAGTCTAGAAGCTAGTATGTCAAATTTGGTGAAGATCGGTTCAGATACAGCTATAGCTTCCATATATATTGTTCATCCGATTTGTTGTATTTGTTACCCACAGCCGTAATATGCACTCCGTAACAACGATATTCAGGGAAATATATCAAATACAGCTCAGAAATATCTTTGCCAAATTTTATCGAGATCGGTTCGGATTTGGATATAGCTTCTATATATATCTTTATCCGATTTCAAATTAATTGTGCACCAAATGGGCAATACAAGTCCGAATTTAAAATATACAAATACTTCGTCATAACTTTAAATTATAATTATAGTCATAGCGCGTATGATTGAATTCTCCCATAAAATCTTTTAATTATTATGCGGAGCTCTATGGCACGTAGCGCCGCCCTGTTGAAACCACATCTCCTCCGGATCAATGTCATCCATATTTTTAAACAAAAAATCATTGATCATGGTGCGGTAACGATCTCCATTGATCATAACGCGAGCTCCGGCCTCATTTTTTAAGAAATATTGTCCGATGATGCCACCAGCGTGAAAACCGCACCATACGGTACATTTTTCTGGATGTAATGGAGTCTGTAGGGTCTCTTGTCGATTGGTGTCACTCCATATGCTGCAATTTTGCTTATTAACAAAACCGTTAAGCCAAAAATGCGCCTCATCGCTGAACACAATGTTGCGATAAAAAAACGGGTCATTTGCCAACTATTCTAGAGCCTGATTTTCAAAGAAAATTTGCATAATTTCGTAACGTTGTTCAAGCGTGACTCTATTCATAATAATTTGTCAGAGTATACTGATACAAATAAAAAAGTTTCATTAAAATTTAATTTTTTGTGTTACTTTTTACAATTTAAAGTTCTATCTAGCTTAAAAAACACCCTTTATATGGAACTACAGGGTTGCCCATATTCGATGGACCAATCTGAACATCCCAAAAACGCCGTTCTCAGCAGGGCATGGCTCGGTCCACTTTACAACGGATTATTCGCATTGATTTGCATTTGTTCCCGTACAAAATTCAATTGACGCAAAGAATGTTGCCTGCGGACAAGCCTCGTCGATTGGAATGGGCCCAAAGAGACATCGAAATGGCCGAAGATGACGAGCAATTTTGGAACAAAATTATCATGTCCGATGAAGCCCATTTCACACTGAATGGGACCGTAAATAAGCAAAATTGCGGTTTTTACGCCACTGAAAATCCTCAGGAGATTCAAGAAGTGCCTCTTCATGACGAAAAAGTCACAGTTTGGTGCGGCGTTAGTGCGAAAACGGTCATTGGGCCGTTTTTCTTCCAAAATGAAAATGGCCATGCTGTTACCATCAATCAGGAGCGTTATCGCGACATGATGACCAATTTTGTGATGCCAATTACTCGTCGAAAGCGTATGAGGCATTTCTGGTTTCAACAATACGGCGCTCCACCGCACACAAGTCGCATAACAATCGATTTTCTAAAGAATTTGTTTCCGGGCCGTTTGATGTCGAAAAGTGGTGATTTGGACTGGCCACCACGTTCGCCCGATTTTACGCCGCCTAACTTCTTCTTGTGGGGATATTTGACAAGCCAAGGACCGTAGAAGAGCTCAAGGACAACATTCGTGAAGAAATAGCCGCTATTCCGGCCGAAATGTTGGCAAAAACGATGGAAAATGCAGCAAAAAGGGCACAATACGCCATTAACGCCAGAGGCGGCCATTTGAGAGATATCATATTCAAAAATTGATGTAAACAAATCTACTTGGAACAAATTAAATGATTAACATTGCCAACCGCCAAATTTTTTTTCCCAATACTATTCGGCATTTATTCTGATACCACTGTCGATTAATACGAGCGGAGAGCGACCATCGGCTGTTATGGTGGCTAACACCATCACCACAGCCGGCGCTTGAGTTCTGGTGGCCAACCGAAGGTGCACATTTTCAGCTGACCTCTTTGGCAAGTAAACACGATCATTTTGTTTGTTTACAAACTGCTATACAACGAATGTTTTCTCATCGGAGGAAATCAATTTCGGCAGTTCACCACTTCTGGCAAAGCGAAGCAACTTTTAGCTCTTTTGATTCTATTTTCTTTCTGTTGCGGTGTAAGTTCTTGCACTTCTTGAAATCTCAATGGCTTGGGGTAAGCTCATTTTTCAATATTTGCCGAATGGAACGAATGTTTTCTCATCGGTGAAAACTAAATTCGGCAATTCACCACTTTCGGCCAAGCGAAGCATCTCTTTAGCTCTTTTGAGTCAATTTCTTTATGTTGCGGTGTTCCTGCACTGTTTTTGAATTTCAATGGCTCGGGATAAGCTCCTTTTTCAATATTTGCCGAATGGTATGCGGTATGTTTAGCTCTCGAGCCATTTTTCGGCCACTGCGACGCGGGTTTCGATCAAGTCGCTTCTTTTTCGAACTTTTCGAACCATTTCTACTGATGTTGCTGTTTTCTTCCGTCCACTTCCTTGACGTCGGGCTACGCTACCGGTATCACGGTAACGAGCGATGGTACGAGACACAAAAGATTTATTCACATTTAAATGCTGAAGTGCTCTAACGATAGCCACTTGTTGTTTCCAGCCAAATATAAGGAAATCACACTATGACGTTTGATTTCCATCACGAATAACTTCTTTTTTCTGGAAAATTATCTTCAAAATGCTTTTGTATGCTTGTAAACAATGTGATGAGCTGTCACTGGAATAATTTTAACAGCTGTGGATTAGCGGCTTAGAAATTACAGCAGTCCGAAGTTGGTTGCAGTTTTTTCATCTCACCCTGTATGATTTCATATTTCAGTCCTTTGAAAGTCATGACATGCATTCTAAAGCATTACGAGAGATCACATGCAGCAGAAGTAAATACATCCCTCAATTTTAGTGAGATATTGCTCGCATATTATTTCAATCCGATTTCAACGTTCAACAGCTCTAAAGCCGTAATACGCCTTTAATAACATAAATGTGTAATCACGGGTATAGTGATGCAGGTAGGACGTATAAACACTAACTGAGTCCAGTAATATACATATGTCATAAACATAAGACTTTTATTGCGTTCAATTTGGTCCTTATCCTCTAAGATGGTTTTACAAACCAAAACACTATTCTCCACAAATGATTTCTGCAAAAGACAGATGCGAAACTTACCTCTACAGTAGAAAAAAACTCTATCCCTCAAGAAAATAATTTACTGACAAACAACTGTCCTGGAAGAAAAATTAAGAAAAAATAAAATTTTAGTTTCTTTATTTTTGGTTCGAAAAACTTTTGTAAATTCTGTAAAGAAAGGTGTATTTATTTGGGTACGTGTGCGTGTGTGTGTAGGTGCAGGTGAATGCGTGAGTATTTGAGTGTTTGTATTTTTCACAACTGCAGGCCATATCCTTGTACCCACAGTCATACACACACACACGAACACTCAAAGCAAACTTTTAACTATAGATTTGGATGTGGGTTGAGTGGTGTTTTGTTGGCATGAACATTTGGTCGGACCAAACAATACGTGCTTGAGTGAGTTTCATAAAATTAAACAAAAATTTATGTTTACCCACAGAGCAAAGTTGCAGCAGCACCAGCACCAGCAACAACATCAACAACGACGATGACGACGACGAAATACAACACCAGTAACCAAGGAACTCTGTATTCAGCCAAATAACCAGGCAACCAACCAACCTATGAACTATTTCAATACGGAAAAGAGACTTGCAAAACCTCAATACTGAAAGCGGTTGGTATTGCAATAAAAATTCAGACTCTCTTGCCGTGTATCCATCCATTTCACTTCAAAATATATGCCCTACAATTGTTGTTATTATACCCTACACCACAAGGTGGTCAGGGTATTATGTCTTTGTGCATTTGTTTGTAACAGGCAAAAGGAAACGAGATAGACCCATAGTTCCTGTTGATGATCTGCATAGAATCACATTCTGAGTCGATTTATGCATGTCGGTCCGTCCGTCTGTCCATGTATTTTTGTAAACAAAGTACAGTTTGCAATTATTGCCCGATCCAGATGAAATTGTGCACAAATCATTTGTATTGAAATTGGAGATAATCGGTCAAAATTTAGATATAGCTCCCATATATATCTTCGTCCGATTTGCTTTTTATTGTGCACCAAACTTGTAATATCAGCCCGAATAGTATGGAATTTTGCACATACAACCAAATTAGGCCTGGAAATAAATATGCCAAATTTGATCGAAATCGGTTCAGATATAGTTATAGCTTCCATATATATTGTTCATCCGATTTGTTATTTTTGTACTTCGCAGCCGTAATATGCACTCTGTTACAACAATATTTGGGGAAATATATCAAATACAGCCCAGAAATGCATGTGCCAAATTTTATCGATATCGGTTCAGATTTGGATATAGCTCCCATATATAATTTCGTCCGATTTAACTTATATTGTGCACCAAACGTCTAATATTTGTCCAAATGGGATGGAATTTGGCACTTACGACCGAATTGAGTCTAGAAGCTAGTATGTCAAATTTGGTGAAGATCGGTTCAGATATAGCTATAGCTTCCATATATATTGTTCATCCGATTTGTTATATTTGTTACCCACAGCCGTAATATGAACTCCGTAACAACGATATTCACGGAAATATATCAAATACAGCTCAGAAATATCTTTGCGAAATTTTATCTAGATCGGTTCCGATTTGGATATAGCTCCCATATATATCTTTATCCGATTTCAAATTAATTGTGCACCAAATGGGCAATACATGTCCGAATTTAAAAGATACAAATGCTTCGGCATATTTAGTCCTTTGAACTTTAAATTATAATTATAATCATAGCGTGTATGATTGAATTCTCCCATAAAAACTTTTAATTTAATATAGTGGTGTAGGGTATCAAAAAGTCTGCCCCGCCCGACTTTAAGGCTTTCTTTACTGGTTTTTGTTGTTGCAGTAGTATACCTAACATTTGCACCAAGAATTACCGGATGTGGGCCTAAGCTTGGAAAACGGAAACATAATTCAAACTTTAAGAACCACCAAATACATACAAACATACATATTGAAGTTGTTGGTCTTTTGTGCGGGGCGTTCAAATGAAAGCGCCAAACAGGCCATAGTGCCGTCCGTCGTTGATTTTTTGTTGTTATCGTGGCAGAGTACTTCCACAAAAATATATAATTTTTGCTTAGTTGTGAGAAAGAGTTATCCTCCCGTTTGTACACAATTCCATTTCCGTGCGAAAGTTCGACTGGCCGCGCGCCCCTCAGCTTTCATTGACAATATATTTGGTTGTAAAATACTTGTACTTTCGTTATTCAACATATGCCTCAACATACACACTCATACATCCATAGAAAATGTCTTTGATGTGAAGAACTTGGAGCGAAAAACGCTTCTTCCCTACGTCAAAGTTTTTGCAAAGCTAACCAAAAAGGTATTTAATAAGAAAACTTATTTTTCAAAAACCTTGTGAATCGCCAAAAGAAATAATTTCTTAGAATTACCAAAAACTGCATTGCATTTAGCATCGTCGAATAATATATACCGTACATTGTGGGGAAAATATCCAAGTTAGAGGTTGGTCTTTGCAAACTCTACACCACAAAGTTATAAGGGTATTATGTGTTTGTGCATTTGTTTGAAACATGGAGAAGGAAGCGAGATAGACCCACAGTTACTTTTGAGGATCTTTCTTAGAATCACTTTCTGTATCGATTTACGCATGTCAATCAGGTCGCATTTTTTATCTGATTGAGGACGAACCCTAGTGAAATTGGTGATAATCGTTTAAGATTTGGATATAGCTTCCATGTATATCCTCAACCGATTTCGGATTAATTGTGCACCAAATAGCCAATATCAGACCACATGACCTGAATTTTGGCATATCCAACCGAATTTATTATAGAAACAAACAGAATATTAAATTTGGTGAAAATCCGTTCAGATATAGCTACAGCTCCCATATATACAGGGTGAGATAAAAAGACTGCAACAAAGTCAAACACCATAATTTTTACTTTTTTATACCCTGTTGAATGAAAGCAAAAATGTCGGAAATAGCATAAAATTTTAGAATAAGTTTAGATTTGTTCGAATTGGTCACCTTTGCCAATGAAACCGTCACACATTGCCTGAATACTGCTCTGCTGTATTTTGGCCCATTCCCGGCGAAGCGTTTGCTTGAGGTGATCGACACTTTGGTATTTTTTAGTGCCAACCTTGCTTTCCAAAATACTCCAGACACAATAGTCCAAAGGATTGGTATCCGGAGATTTTGGTGATCACTGTGCGCTGGAAATGAAGCGAGGATCGTCATTTTGCAATAATTCTTGGGTGGCGCGTACTGAGTGCGATGCTGCTGAGACCTGTTGGAATATCCAAGATCTGCGGACAAAATGCTTGAGTGCCCAAGGATTTAATACACCCCAGAATATTTTTGCGATAATATTCGGCATTTATTCTGATGCCACGGTCGATTAATACGAGGGGAAAGCAACCATCGGCTGTTATGGCGGCCCACACCATCACCATGGCCTGCGCTTGAGTTCTGGTGACCAACCGAGGGTGTACATTTTCAGCTGACCTCTTTTGCGATAATATTCGGCATTTATTCTGATGCCACGGTCGATTAATACGAGGGGAAAGCAACCCTCGGCTGTTATGGCGGCCCACACCATCACCATGGCCTGCGCTTGAGTTCTGGTGACCAACCGAGGGTGCACATTTTTAGCTGACCTCTTTGACAAGTAAACACAATCATTTTGTTTGTTTACAAACTGCGGGGCAAGGAATGTTTTCTCATCGGAGAAAACCAAATTCGGCAGTTCATCACTTTTGGCCAAGCGAAGCAATTCTTCGGCTCTTTTGAGTCTATTGTCTTTCTGTGGCCACTTTTGGCATTTCAATGGCTTTACCCCGAGCTCATTTTTCAATATCTGCAGAATGGAATATTGCAATATGTTACCCCGAGCTCATTTTTCAATATCTGCAGAATGGAATATTGCAATATGTTCAGTTCACGAGCCATTTTTCGGCCACTACGACGCGGGTTTCGATCAAGTCGCTTCTTTACTTTTCGAACCATTTCTGCTGATGTTGCTGTTTTCTTCCGTCCACTTCCTTGATGTCGGGCTCGCTACCAGTATCACGGCAACGAGCGATGGTACGAGACACAAAAGATTTATTCACATTTAAATGTTGGAGTGCTCTAACCATAGCCACTTGAGGTTTTTCAGCCAAATATAAATAAATTACACTATCACGCTTCAATTCCATCACGAATAACTTTTTTCAGGAATGAAGCGAGGAACCCCATTTTGTAACCATTCTTGGGTGCCGCGTGCTGAGTGCGATGGTGCTGAGTCCTGTTGGAATGTCCAAGGTCTGCGGCCAAAATGTTTGCGTGCCCAAGGCTTTAATACACCGCCCAGAATATTTTCCCAATACTATTCGGCATTTATTCTGATGCCACGGTCGATTAATACCAGCGGAGAGCGACCATCGGATGTTATTGCGGCTCAAACCATCACCATGGCCGGCGCTTGAGTTCTGGTGGCCAACCGAAGGTACACATTTTCAGCTGACCTCTTTGGCAAGTAAACACGATCATTTTGTTTGTTTACAAACTGCTGGACAACAAATGTTTTCTCATTGGAGGAAATCAATTTCGGCAGTACACCACTTCCGGCTTTGCTCCGAGCTCATTTGCCGAATGGAATATTGCGATATGTTCCGGTCACGAGCCATTTTTCGGTCACTACGACGCGTAGCGGGTTTCGATCAAGTCGCTTCTTTTTTTCGAACCATTTCTGCTGATGTTGCTGTTTTCTCCACTTCCACTTCCTTGACATCGGGCTCGCTACCAGTATCACGGTAACGAGTGATGGTACGAGACACAAAAGATTTATTCACATTTGAATGCAGGAGTGCTCTAACGATAGCCACTTGAGGTGTTCCAGCCAAATATAAAGAAATCATATTATCACGCTTGAATTCTATTACGAATAACTTTTTTTCTGGAAAATTCTCACCAAAATGCTTTTGTACGCTTGTAGACAATATAATGAGCTGTCACTAGAATAGTTTTAACATCTGTCGGATGAGTGGCTTAGAAATGACAGCAGTCTGAAGTTGGTTGCAGTTTTTTCATCTCACCCTGTATGCAAGAATTTTTCTATAAATGTGGATCTTTTTTAAGTTATTTGGCAAACGTCT